CCCATTAGGAATGTTTCTAGGGTTATAGTTTTGGGCTTCACTGAAGTGACAACTGCCCCGAACCTTTCTGAAGGTGCTTCACAGATCCGCTGCACAGTCCACGCGCATATCCACACACACGATTTATCGTTAGGTTAGTTAACCCTGAGTCAGGCTAGCACTAGAAGCCCGCTGGTATTCAAGCCCATCACACTGTAGGGTTTTTTTGGAAATTCTAGTATTTGTCACAGATATATTTTCTGGAAACTCCTTTCTTCTCCCCCCTTTTAAGTTTTTTTGTGTTCCTTTGTTTTCATCTGTAGAATCTGAGTTTTATTTAAAATTCCAGATGGCTGGCTGGCTGGTTGTCCTTAGTTGAGTGTTTATTCTGTTATTTTTTTTTCCACTTTTTTTTTTTAAAAGAAGTGGCTCTTTTCACCTCAATGCCGTATTTTGCTTTTTTAGTGTAGTTTTAAAAATTGATGATCTAATTTATACATGTAGTAAAACGAGTAGCTGTTGTACCTAATTGCAGTGTGTGAGTAACAGATATTCTCACCGTTTATCTATTCAGCCTAAGGATGATTTCTTGGCAGCAGAGTTAAATCTGCTTCGAAGCTTTGTCTTTGTCATTTTGCTTTGAGTTAATGCTTGCCTATTTTAGGTTTCCTGTGATTTTTTTTTTTTTTTTTCAAATCTCAGCTACTCCTGGTCTCTGGGAAATTTCTGAAAAATTTTTGAAGGCTTATTTGATTTGTATAGATTTTACCCGTATATTTTTAAGGTTCAACCAAAAAGTTGAAAGTAAGTTCAGCTGCCACCCAGACACCATCAGGCATTTAAAAAGGTCTATTATTATGTTTGAAGAGAAACTAAAGCATCTTATTACAGGAGAAAGCAAAGTGCTTTTTTTTCCCCTGGGTCTCTAGAGATGGCATTTCCTGTCTCTCCTCTGATAGGAGCAAAGAGCTGTGATGACTTCACTCCGTGGCTCCAAAAGAAGTGCCTATTATCTTTTTTCTCGAGAACAATTCGTCTTTATTTAGAGCTTGGAGGCACACTTTTTAGATCCACACTTGGTCACTGCCCCGCGAAGAAGTGTTTGACCATTGTTTGTTAATAAACAAGAAACACATCTGGCAAGCTGGTTGGTTTGTTTAACTTTGCAACTGTTGAAATAAAGCCATTAAAGGAGGGAAGATCTAGCTGGCTACAAAGGGCCGCTGCTATTTAGGTCATGGGATGCTCCGAACCATCAGAAGGGCTTTTGTTCCATCCATTGGTTTCCTAAGGGATCAGCCAGCGCAGGGTTTTTGTGTCTTGTAGGCAAATCCATTTTGGAGAACACATACTAGGCAAGAAAGACTAGAAAAATCAGTGACACTAATTTTTTTTTCTCTCTCTTAAGCCACAGGAAATGCAATCACAAGTGTGCTTCTTGAATAACTGTTTTGGCGTTGCAGGGGGTGGGGGGTGGGGCAGGGAGTGTTATAACAGGAGCCCTTCCTGGGAAAAAGCTCATCAATAAAGTTGGGGTCCACACTGTGCTTGAAAATAAATGTGTATCTATTATTCAACCTGGAAATGAAGAATCGGCAAGAGAATTTACTATCTAGTAGGTTTTCAATCGAATTATCCCCTCGTGCTTCCAAAACACGGCCTTTTTTGGAAGACTGGTCTTCAGAGCCGATCCCTTTGCTGGTGAAGCCCGATCCACCTCTCCTGTGCAGGATCCATCACTTCTGCACGTTCTTTGGGTGCGTTTCCTCTCAGTCAGGACGGCGCTGGCTGTGAGGGAGCTTTCGTTTTGTGAAAACGTTCATTTCAGAGCTGCTGTCGAGTTGGAGCAGAAGCTTAGAGCCCAGCTCTGAACTGGGTGCCGAGGTTTTCTGTTTGTGTCTGTCTTTGAATCTCAAAGCAAGATTGGAGAGAAATGGGGACAGCTTTTCAGCAAACTGTAGGACACCAGAGACCTGCATAGGAAACGGGGCTGGTCCTCTGGACAGTTTGGGGCCGAGGGGCACAGCTGAGCCTTCGTCCCCCTCCGGGACCCCTCATTCCTCTGTCTCCCCAGGTCCTCCCCCGTCCCTGCCTCTTCTTTAAAGGGATGTCTGTGGCTTTCAGAAAACCCGCTCACATTCTGTACTTCCCCTCAAAGCGCCTCAATTCTGCTCTCGGCTCATCTTACGCCTCCCTAAAGCCCATCCTTTCTTATCTTGTTTATGCCTACCTTCGACTCCATCTCTTTTTGGTCGTATCCATCTCTTTTCTGTCATATCCCTCTGTCTATTATGAGACTCAAAATACGAAGCCCCACGGGGCTCCTCCAAACCAAAAAAAAAATTGCTAGACGGGTAAACCTTGCTGTCAAGAGGCACTTAAAATGGTGAAACGTGACCTCCAAAGAGAGACAAGAAAACATTCCCTTATAAAGGAACACTGTTCTTTAAGAAAAAAAAAAAGAGTCTGATTTTTGTCTCCTCCTCGCTGGCCTCCCGGGGTCAGTTACCTTGTGTATCTGGGCTAAGCCATAGGTTCTGATGAGGTGAGAGAAAAGGCTGTGAGTACCGAGGAGACCTCTCCACGCCCGCCACCCTTTCGCCTCCCTCCTCCACTACACACCCCTCCCAGCTGAACTTAACTCCTCGGCCAGAAGACAGACAGCACATTCACGCCTAGTCATCTGAGGACGGTCATTTATTAAAAGGACCATTTAGCACTCGTGGAGAGGATTCAGGAAGAGCTAAGGGATGGAGTGATACCCCACCCCACCCCGGGCTGATCACAGTGGGGAGCGGCCATGGCCCTGGGTCTCAAAGGGTAGGGAAGCCTTGTAGGAACTTCAGAGATGAGCTATGGACACTGCCAGGCTGGAGCTGTGGCCTTTGGTCAAAAGACCTGTCAGCTCTTTGCATCCTAGCGGCGGTGCAGGTGGAAATTCCCGCTCTCTGATCTGCCAGAACCCGTCAAGTCTAACAAAACCAGGGGGAAGGTGCTTTTGTGCACGTGGTCCATGCAGGTCAGAACATCCTTGGAATCACGCTGACCTCTCTGTGTCTCACAGGCCACATCTGATCTGACTTATTGGTAATTTTCTCGATCAAAGGACACCCAGAGTCTGAGCTTCTGTCAATACCCGCACTGCTGCCCCAGGGTCCAAGTGTCCATCATTTCCAGGGTTAGAGAGGGACTCCCACCTGGAACATTCTTGCGTGGCATCCCCGACTTCCCAGGTCATGCAGACAAAAAGCTTACAAGACTTTGCACAGGCTGCACCTTTCTTCTCTGACCCCATGTCCTCACATTCCTGAGACTCACTTTGGTCTGACTCTTTGATGTCCCTGATGGTCAACACCAAGCACAAACCTGCCACAGGGCCTTTGCAGATGGCAGGGAGGTGAATTTAAGTCTAAGAAAATATAAGTCACGGAACCATCTACCCACCCAAAACTTAGACAGGTATTTGCAGCAGCATTATTCATAATAGCTGCAAACTGGGAACGGGTCACCCAAAAAATTGCCATGTGGCAATAAAAGGAATAAAGTACTGATATGTGTGATCATTGGAAACGTTAGGCTAAGTAAAAATTAAGAAATGTTGAAAGTGTGATGTCACAAAGGATTTCATATTGTACGATTCCATTCGTATGAAATATCCCGAATAAGCAAGTCTATACAGATGGGAAGTGGCGTGGTGTTTGCCTAGGGCTGGGGAAGATGGGAGGTGACAGCTAAGAGGTTCAGCATTTTTTCTGAGGTGATACAAATGTTCAAGGGACTTCCCCGGCAATCCAGTGGTTAGGACTCTGTCTTCTAATGCATGGGGTGAGGATTCGATCTCCGGTTGAAGAACTATGATCGCACATGCCTTGGGAGGGTGGGGTGGCAAAGGTATGACCAGAGAATTTTTTAATTTTTATTTATTTTTATTTGTTGGAGGCTAATTACTTTACAATATTGTAGTGGGTTTTGTCATACATTGACACGAATCAGCCATGGAGTTACATGTATTCCCCATCCCGATCCCCCCTCCCACCTCCCTCTCCACCCGATCCCTCTGGGTCTTCCCAGTGCACCAGCCCCAAGCACTTGTCTCATGCATCCAACCTGGGCTGGTGATCTGTTTCACCATAGATAATATACATGTTTCGATGCTGTTCTCTTGAAACATCCCACCCTCGCCTTCTCCCAGAGTCCAAAAGTCTGTTCTGTACATCTGTGTCTCTTTTTCTGTTTTGCATATAGGGTTATCATTACCATCTTTTTAAATTCCATATATATGTGTTAGTATCCTCTTTATCCTTCTGGCTTACTTCACTCTGTATAATGGGCTCCAGTTTCATCCATCTCATTAGAACTTATTCAAATGAATTCTTTTTAATGGCTGAGTAATATTCCATGGTATATATGTACCACAGCTTCCTTATCCATTTGTCTGCTGATGGGCATCTAGGTTGCTTCCATGTCCTGGCTATTATAAACAGTGCTTCGATGAACATTGGGGTGCACGTGTCTCTTTCAGATCTGGTTTCCTCGGTGTGTATGCCCAGAAGTGGTATTGCTGGGTCATATGGCAGTTCTGTTTCCAGTTCAGAGAATTTTTTTAAATGTTCTAAAGTCGATTGTGATGAGAGTTGCCTATTTTGTGACTAGACTAAGGCCCATTGAATTGAACAGTTTCAGTGGGTGAATCGTATGGTATATGAATTACATCTCAGAGCGATTAAAAATAAAGATCTGATTGCCATCTTTGTAAAGCATTCCTGTCATTTTCACAAGTAGCATAAATAACTCTTAGCATTCAGTATTATTATAGCTAAAGTCTGAGATGCAACTCTGCGACCATTGACTTATTACTGTTTTCATTTCTCATTTATTTTTTAAGTCTTACATTTCTTCCGAGCACATGGGCCAGATATTCAATATTTAAATATCCTTGGAGTGGGTGAATTTTTTGTCAAGTCTTAATGTGAGAAAGACAGAGTACTAATCATGGGTGTGTCTCTGCCCCCCCCCCCCAGCACTTTCACGATGGACGGAAGGCACAGCAGCACATAGAGACGTGCTGGAAGCAACTAGAATCAGTAAGTGAAAAACCAACCGCTCAAGAAATGTGTCTACAGATTTTTCTGATCTGAATTTAACTTAAGTTTGAATCAACACTAAGTACAAAACAAACAGAGACCCTAACGTCTTTAGAAATTTTTTACAATTTGAATTTAATTGATTTCTAGAGATTGTTACTGGAAGTAAAATGTTGAGCCCCAAAGAGCCCAAGTGGAACCTTTTTTCTAAAAATCATAGGGAAGGACAAAGATTAGACAGTTTGGATGGAAATAAAGGCAGATTTTAAAATAACTTCCTGAAGTGATGACATGGAACAAATCAGTTCAGAAAACAATGCTTTTGGGGAGGGGGAATCAGGGAATGCCAATAAAATTATGATACAATTACATCTTCATATAGTAATCTCATGGTTTCAGTAACAACCACTTTCCCTGTCACCATCTTCCTCTGCTCTTAGAGTAAAAGACGTTTTGAGCGGGATTGCAAAGAGGCCGACCGAGCCCAGCAGTACTTTGAGAAAATGGATGCTGACATAAATGTTACGAAAGCAGATGTTGAAAAGGTAAGGTGAAAGCGAGAGTCTTTTTTTTTCATTTCCCCTTTTAACGCTTGTCACGGTATCCTCCCAGACTGCTGGTCCCCAAGTTCTTCTTTTTGATGCAGCCACAAAAGGCCACTCAACTTGGAATTATTTTCGTTTCATGTCAACTTGGGGTGTGGGGTATTAGTAGGCGGCTGGGGGGGATCTAAAATTTGGGGAAATCCTCAGTGTTATGATTTGAACAGTGTGTTGATTTCTTTAGTCACCAGGACGATTACCGTGGAGACAAACCATGAACCTATCTTGGGGGTGGTTTCCGCAGACTGTGGTTCTGTCTTAATGGCTTTTCAAAGAAAAAAATCGACCTCTTAAAAGCTGGAGCAGACCGCCCAGCGTCATCTGAAAGAGCTTGGCTGCTGGCACTGTTTCTGATAAAGAGATAAAGAGACTCACACTAGTGGCCAGAGTTCTGATGGACTCATTCAGGTTGCTAACAGGTTGTAACCCAAGGCTTGCATTGGGAGGTCCTCTCCAAAGCTTTTCCCAAAATGGACTTGTGTTGTTGGCAATTAGGAATATTATTATAAAGCTTGTACTGTGTCTTCTTGTGGTTCCCTGTGTGTTTTTTCCCTAGAAGCTAATTTTCTTTTTATAAAAGTCATCATATGAGTGTAAACAAAATTAGGCTGTTAAAGAACCGTATTCATTCCTGACTGCCCAGGGCTGTTTTGGCATTCATAGCTTCATGCTTTTACATGGGGAAAAACACTGCGTTTTCGTAGATTTCTTTCACTTTTTGCCAGATTATTTGGAGATGAATTTGCTTAGAAAATAGTGTAAATTAGGTATTTGGTTATTTGCCCAATTCTGCCAAATTCCTTGCTTAAAGTCTAGGCATAGATTAGTATGCCTTCCTCTAAAATTACCTAGTATATTAGAAAACACATTGTTAATATCTATATTTGATCTTGAATGGGGATATTTACTTTACCAAAAGATATATTCATTTGCTGGTAAAATTACCATGTTCATAGTAACGTGACAGTCTCTCAGTCGTGTCTGACTCTTTGCAACCCCATGGACTGCCACCCACTGGACTCATCTGTTCACGGAATTCTCTAGGCTGGAATACTGGAGTGGGTTGCCATTTCCTCCTCCAGGGGATCTTTCCTATCCAGGGTTTGAACCTGAGTCTCCTACATTAGCAGGCAGATTCTTTAACACTGAGCCACCTGAGAGGCCCCAAAAGGTACCATAAATTACCATAAACTTACCATAAGTTTTCATAAAGTGTTAATTCCCCAAAGTATTTAATATGTTATTCAATTAAAATAGAAGGACCCAAAGTTTATTTTTAAAAAAAATTTGAGGTTAAATGAACATAAAACTTTTGCATATTCATTTTAGAGCCAGATGCCTTGCTAATAAACTCTCTTTTTATTTCTATTTTGGGGTTTTCCATAGAAACAGTCGTAACAAAGGTAAATAATGACAGTCTTGTTTCTTCTTTTTCAGTCTTTATGCCTTTTTATTTATTTTTCTTATCTTGCTCTGCTGGTTATGACCTCTTTTATGCTGGCAGAAGCAGTTATTGTGGATTTCCTTATCTCATTCTAGATAAAGAGAGTGCTTCAAATGTTTCCCCATTAAACATGATTATAATAAGCCGTTATCAGGGTGAGGGATTTCCCTTCTTTTCCTATTTTGCCAAGAGGTTTTTTTTTTTTTAAACTCAACTTGATATTGAATATCATCAAGTATCTTTTCTGTTTCCTTTAATCTATTAATGGACAGATTACATTATTAAATTTTCTTATATTGAACCAAATTAGCATTCCTGGGACTAGTGTAACTAGATTTTGATGTATTTTTTTAAAATACAGAGCTGAATTTACATTATTAACATTTTACTTGAGATCTTGCATCGATGTTTATTGAAATCAGTTCAGTTCAGTTGCTCAGTCATGTCCGACTCTTTGTGACCCCATGGACTGCAGCATGCCAGGTTTCCCTGTCCATCACCAACTCCTGGAGCTTACTCAGACTCATGTCCATTGAGTTGGTGATGCCATCCAACCATCTCATCCTCTGTTGTCCCCTTTTCCTCCCACCTTCAATCTTTCCCAGTATCAGGGTCTTTTCCAATGAGTCTTTTCTTCACATCAGGTGTCCAAAGTACTGGAGTTTCAGCTTCAGCATCAGTCCTTCCAATGAATATTTAGGACTGATTTCCTTTAGGATGGATTGATTGGATCTCCTTGCTATCCAAGGGACTCTCAAGAGTCTTCTCCAACACCACAGTTCAAAAGCATCAATTCTTAAGCACTCAGCTTTCTTTATAGTCCAACTCTCACATCCATACATGACTATGGGAAAAACCACAGCTTTGACTAGATGGACCTTTGTTGGCAAAGTAGTGTCTCTTCTTTTTAATATGCTGTCTAGGTTGGTCATAACTTTTCTTCCAAGGAGCAAGTGTCTTTTAATTTCATGGCTGCAGTCACCATCTACACTGATTTTGGAGCCCAAGAAAATCAAGTCTGTCACTGTTTCCATTGCTTCCACATCTATCTGCCATGAAGGGATGGGGCCAGATTCCATGATCTTAGTTTTCTGAATATTGAGTTTTAAGCCCACTTTTTCACTCTCCTCTTTCACTTTTCATCAAGAGGCTCTTTTGTTCATCTTCACTTTCTGCCATAAGGGTGGTGTCATCTGAGGTTATTGATATTTCTCCCGGAAATCTTGATTCCAGCTTGTGCTTCATCCAGTCCAGCATTTCTCATGATGTACTCAGCATATAAGTTAAATAAGCAGGGTGACAATATACAGCCTTGATGTACTCCTTTCCTGATTTGGAACCAGTCTGTTATTCCATGTCCAATTCTAACTGTTCTTGACCTGCATACAGATTTCTCAGGAGTCAGGTCAGGTGGTCTGGTATTCTTATCTCTTGAAGAATTTTCCACAGTTTGTTGTGATACACACAAAGATTTTGGCATAGTCAATAAAGCAGAAGTAGATGTTTTTCTGGTTCATTGAAATAGAAACCTGTGATTTTTCTTTCTTGGCTGTTCTAGTTTGCTTTATTAGTTTTGGAGTATTCCTTTTTATTTTCTAAATAATATATGTGAGAGGAAATTAAGTTTCTTAAATATTTTGTAATACTTTATAGTGGGAGTTTCTAACTACTGACCTAATTTCTTTATTGTCCTTGAAAGCATTCACTTTCTGCAAAATGAAAAATCTGATCCCACATGTAGTTTCCTGCACTTACCTGTTGTTTTTACACAGGTGGAAATATTGTTCCAGATTTTGCGTTCATAGTCCCAGCTTTTCTTGAGCGCTCACGGAATGCACATTGTAGTACTTCTTGAAGCCACTGAGTCCATCACTATTTGCAATCTTTAGCCTTTTTCTTCCTTTTTTTAAAAATTGAAGTATAATTGACTTACAATATTATATTAGTTTCAGGTGTACTTCACCTTTGTGTTAGTTAAGATCTCATGACATGTAAAGGCTTACCCATGATTGCTTCCAAATATTAATTGAGTATGAAAAATTGCATATAGACTGGCAATCCTCCTATACCAACATCACTGCCTTATATTTGCCTTATAATTAGGGTTAGGGTTAGGATCACATAAGAAGGTAGAAGTCACAAGCAGAAAAACCTGTGAGATTGAGAAGACAGTGTGTGTGATTATAAATGTGTGTTCCTTGGAATTTCCACTCTGGTCCACATTTAAAGTGGGTTCTCCAGGCAACTGTCTTTTCCTGGATCACAGCCAGGCCAGGACCACATAATTCTGAATTTCCCACTTGGGGTTAGGGATTCCACACCTGCTGGGTGAGTTCTGGTCCTTTGTGATTGAAAATTTTTCCAGGGTGACTCTAGTTTTCCTCCCTTGGGTCGGGTCCAAGAGAGTTAATGTATCAAAAGCACAATTTCTAGGTCCGGTTGCAGCTTTGGGACTTTTCAAAGGTACTACCAAACTGAATTGCTCTTCTCGACTATTTTAATATTTCCAAGGATGCACTGTTATTTCTTATACAAGGACATATTTCTTATATAAGGACATGCACTGTCTCATGTTGGAATTCTGGGACTTGCCTGGCAGTCCAGTGGCTGAGACAGTGCTCCCGCTGCAAAGAGCCTGGGTTCAATTCCTGGTCAGGGAACTAGATCCCGTGTGCCACAACTAAGACCTGGAATAGCCAAATGAATAAAATAAATAAATACTTAAAAAATAATAAGAACAACAATAACTGTGCTTCTCCTGACACAAACTAGGGAACTTCACATTTTAAAAATAAATAAACATTGGAATTCTTAAGTTATTCTCCTTAGGAGTGTGACTTGAAGCACTGTAATTTCCCCAAAGCAAAGCCATGATTTGATTGTTGTATTCGTTTTGGCATTATCTGTCACCAATGAAGCTTCTTGTCAGGATCAAGCTGAAAGGATGCAGTGTTTCAGTTCTTGGGGACACTTAATGTGATTTCCCACATTGACTTCTGAGAGTCTTCGGATCTAATATAAATGTCTTTTCCTCCAGTTTCTGCAAATGATTCAATTACCCAGTTGTCTTCGCGGTGACTCCCCCTCCTTTTTCCGGCAGTCAGCTCCACAGCCCTTGGGATGATAAGCCTGTGTTTAAAAAGATACTGTCGCTGCTCCCACCTCGAGTAGGGCGGACTTTCCTAAATTGCGCTTGTGTTTGATGACACCGTCCATGGGAACTGTATGTGCATGATGCATCTTCTAAGCTGCGTAGGCTCTGGGTGGGAGCCTGATTTTCTTTTCCTTTGGGGAGGTTAATGTTCCACAGAGAGACTGGCTCTGTGTTCACACTGCCTAGATCTAGCCCAGCCCACACTGTGGCTTTGAGTTCACCATGAGTATGTGTGGCCAGGTGTTTCATCCTTTGCTTACAAGAGGTCATGTGTTAGCCTTGAGGTGCCCAGTTTAACTAAGTATAAATTTATATGTAGAAATAGACATTAAAAAAAAAACCCAC